AAAAAAAAATTTTTTTTTTTTTTTTTTTTTTTAAATTACTTATTTACATGGACAGCAATATGGGGAGCCACCTGAATAATGGAAAATCTGAGAAGAAAAATGAAAATTCACATCAGTTGGTGCTTCATGTTTAAGTAACCCGGGGGGGGGGCGTCAATTAGCTTATGCTTTCCTTCCAATTACGTATAGGGTTGTACAGATGAGCCGGAAACTCTGTTGTTGGGCAGGCTTTGAAACTTAAGAAATATGTGGAGAAGAAGAGCATGAGAAGTAATTCCTCTAGTGCTCATGCAAACATATGGATAGTGAGAAACATATGAATATGTCAGTCAGAACCTTTAAAAAAAATATCGTTTGCAGCACATTTGGTACCCTCATCAAGATAAGTGGATGCTCTTTATGAAGAGTTACATCTTCTCGTAAGTGTTCTGTAGTTTATGTACGCCTTGTATTTTGCGGTTTAACCAATCACATCAATGAATCATTGACTTCATAACCTCCCCCCCAAAAAATCACATGTTGTTATGATATAACTATCTTCCTTGCTTGGTTTGGTGCATAATATGATACCTATTTTATATCATTGACTATGATTGAGAAACGATGTTTTTAAAATCAAGCCATTTCTCTTACTGAGCTTTTACAGTCTGGTTATTTTGTGCACTTTCCTGTCTCAGGTTTGCTTCCAGTATGCTGGCTTGGATTCTAAGCCGAGCCATGGGAGCATCTGTTTCCTTCCGTGTTGGAGGATGGAAATGCCTGAGAGATGTGGTGGTGAAGTTCAACAAGGTCGCTCTTTCTTTTTCACTTTGAGCTACAATTTAGATGTGGTTTAATCTGTTTTATGCTGTGTAGTTTAAGGAACAGTTCGATGGTCCATCAAATTTACGTTTTTTAGTTGTACATTATCGTTTGGTCAACTGCATCTGATTAAGAGAATGCTTATAGGCATTGTATGACATATCCAATCTTACACCTACGACTTACAACTTTGTTTCTCGAGGCACATTATATATAATATTTCATTCTTGAAGTGTATGTAAGGGAATGTGGAGGATCAGAAGAACCAGATAATACATAATAGCAAAAAGAGCAGTGTCAACTTGGATCCAGTTTGGTCAAATGTCTGGGTGGCCAATTTCAGAGTTTAATGCCACATGTTGGGGTGATGTCATCTCTTTTTCCTGTAATGTGAACTGACCTGAAAAAGAGTCCCAGTTAGGAGAGATTCTGCAAAAGAAATAGCAACAAACATATTTATATTAGAAATTTGGCATTCTGAAGTTCCACATATTCTTTTGGTATCTCAGGATCAGGTCTTTGAGTGCCAGTATAGAAATTTGTGTGCATTGGGATCTTTTTGTTCTCTCTCTCTTTTTTCTTTGTGTGTGTGTATGTCTTGTCAAAAGTAAAACTGCCATTGTAGTTACACCAAGCACCGGAGGGCACAATGACTTGGGAGGTCCCTCATTTAGTGAATTTGCTGAAGGGAGTGACTAGGCTGCAGTCAGTTTATCTTAGATTCAACTTTTGACTACTGGCTTATAAGGCAACAATTTAGATGCAAGATTTTCTCTTTTTTCTGGTTCCTCAATTATTTTGATATTTGTTCTCATGTCACTATGAATAATAATTTGCAGGGTGCAGTTGAAAGTGTATCCATTGGCGAAATTAGACTCAGTATTCGTCAATCCTTGGTGAAGCTTGGGGTTGGTTTTATGTCCAGGGATCCAAAACTACAGGTGTTAATATGTGATTTAGAAGTTGTAATGAGGTCTCCCAGTAAAATCTCAAAAAAAGCAAGATCTCGTAAATCTCGCAAGTCAGGTAGAGGGAAGTGGATGGTTGTAGCTAATATGGCTAGATTTTTGTCAGTTTCAGTGACTGAGATGGTTGTGAAGGTAACCATTGTTCTGGTCATTAAACTTGGTCTTATGAGTGCTCATGATTGATTGAATGTCCTTGCATCACTTTACTCATGTACCCAAAAACACTGCTGGTTGTTGCTTTCAGCTCTTCTTACATTTTATGACTGTTTTGTTGGGATAATGTTTCTTCACGTACAAGTTCATATGTCGAATAACAGTGTACTGCATTGCTTCTGCTTGTGCTTGGCAGCGGTCTAAGTTCTTTTAACTTATACATGTCAGAATTGCACTGAAGGTTGATGTGAATAACATTTCCATTAAAGTATGTATTGACTTGTTATAACACACGTATATCCATGTTAATTGATAATGACAAAAGATGCCAAACTAGTGATCTATCGCATACTAATGCTACTAATGTAAATACAAACAAGATCTAATTAGCTTTAAGATTCAGAATTTCAGATTTTAAACGTTCTTGTTTGTTCTTTCTCTCTCCCTTAAATAGTTTCATATTGAGAAAAATGGAAGGAGACATGTTACACTCTTCTTAAAGTGTTTTGGGTCGTGAATATTATGAAGAATCAACAACTGAATACTTTGGGAGACTCTTCTGATAGTGGTGTTGGCAAACATGGTATATACATGCTTATTGCTTTAGGTGCATGAAAATTATTGCACATTGACTAAGTGAACTTAATGGAGGAATTAATGTCCTGCAGTTGCTTATTGTCTTTGTATAGTATCTCACTGCAATGGCTAAATGAAATTGTTCTTTGGTGGACATTGTGTTACATTCTTAATTGCTTTTCGGTGCATTTGTTTAACTTACTTATCTTGTTTAGTTGTCTCTCCCAGGTTTAGCTTCCCTGCTGATTATCTTTATAAACTATGCAGACACTAAAAGCTACCGTTGAGGTCAAAGAATTGACGCTTGATTTATCTAAAGATGGTGGATCCAAGCCAGAATTATTTGTCAAGTTGCTGCTTGCTCCTATTTTTGTTCACTTTGGTGAATCACGAGTCAGTTGTGATCAATCATCAATGCATGGCGGATCTTTACCTTCCAACCATACATTACTAGGCATGACAGAGAGGGTCTCTGCTCCTTTCAGCTGTGAAGAATTTTCCATCATGTGTGAGTTTGGCCATGATAGGTATACCCTCTTTTAAATGTTTCATTTTGTTTCAATTATTTTGTGTAATTGGATTGACTTCTTTGGTAATTGAAAACTCGTCCTCTCTAGTTGTTCTAATTTGACTTCTACTGTAGTCCATATATGGTGTTTCTCATTGGTATGTATTTGCTGGTAGAATTTTGTCACTTGATTCTAGCTTTTGAAACACTTGTATATTCCACACCCAAACATTAACAGCATGAATCTTTCACAAGCATTTGATTTTCTAATGCATCAGCATTTTTTCCTTCTGGAATAATCAGATGAATCATGTCTACTTCTGCATGTTCTTTTCCACCATATTTCAACTCTAAATAAGCGTAATATATCCACATCTGAACATTCGTCAGTAGGTTTGATCATGCGCTATTACAGAATCCGTTCCTATTCTGTAATGAAAGTTGTATGAATTGGCAAGTTCCGGTTTCAGATTCATCATGAATTGGCAAGTTTTAACAACTTGCCAATTCATGATGGCATGGTGATTCCGACGGGACTAGGATTTCTGGGGTTTGATCGCACAAGGGTTTCGGATTTGATGGTGGTACTGGTATATGCACAGTACCACTGTAGTAGTGATGAACCCGGGGAGCAAGACGAAGTTGCCGGAAAATTGCACGGCGACGGGATCTTTCTTTCCGGATGTCGCTGGAATGACGCACAACAGTAATTTTCTCACTGAAGCTCTGATACCAAGAATGCACGGGAGAAAAATCTATTTTTTAACAATGATACAATGAGCCCTATATATAATACATATTCTACTCCTACTACATATGGGACTAGAACATATTCTACTCCTACTACATATGGGACTAGGACATATTCCACTCCTATATATGGGACTAGGACATATTCTACTCCTATTACATATGGGACTAGGACTATTTACACATAACTATCTAACAGTATAAACAAGTAGAATCGCCCTTTATTAAAGTTCCCATAGGCCCAAAAATATTTAAAGGAAAATTCCCTTAAGTGTCTTTATAGGACCAAAATTTTTCTAAGAGGGGAAACGATTTTCATTAATAACTGCATGGAGGTGCCTTGATGTAGGCAAGATGAGCCTTGACTCTGAGTATACTGTAGACGAATGATAAAAACATCTTAAAATAGATCTTTTCCGCCCTCCTCATGTAAAACACATCATCTTTGGTCAATCAGACGAACGAATCTTGCCAAATTCTTTATTCGTAAAAAGGAGCAACAGTTGGAATCGCAACGTACATCAGACTATCGGAGTACTAGATTTTCCAGCTTGCTGACCATATTCAACTACATTGAGGTAGAGAATGAAAGACCATTTGAAGATTAAGATGGTAGACTGAGTTAGGAAATTATTTGATCATGTCGAAGCTTAGCTCTTAGGGAAATAATGAGAGAACCTGAGAAGTGGCTGACTTTAGCAATTTTGATAGTTTTTTGGGAAACATTAAAGTTAGAAGCAAACTTTCATCAATGATCAGAAGAGCTTTATGATTACAAAGATGGATCCGATAAATTTATTTAGGAAAAGGAGACTCTACAAATCCCAACTTTTAGTAACTAGGAGTTAGTCATACCAATCAAGAAATTACTCGTAAGGATATAATATCCTTTCCATAAATTCTAGGAGTTGTAATAATGATAGATATCTCATGTCAACTAGGAAGCATGATATGAAGATGTTAATATTTGGGCTAGAGCTGCTGTAGCATGACGAGTGGCTTCAATTGAACACTGCACACGAAAGTGACTTTGTCATCTGGCTTAGTTCTTTTGCTTAATTCCTCCTGCATAAATGGAACAGGCAATTTTTTAGCTTTGCTGGACGAAGAGCAGGTTGTGGTTAGAACAACCATATTTTTTTGTTTAAGCTTTATAGAACAATATTTTTGATCCACTAAAATATAGCCTCAATTCTGTATTTTTAGATGAGTTGGAGAGTTTTATCTGCTAGGACCTGTTTTTCTACTACTATTTTGCTTTGTACTTGCAGATATTTTCTTCTGTAAACTAGATTGTCGCTTGCTTACTTCTCCCAATATGGGAAAAAAGGACTAGCTATTTGCAACTGTGACGTTCAATTGAAAGCAAGCAGATTTTGATATTTGATCTGAACTTGACTGTGTGTTGTTACTGCTCTGCTGTTTTTCTTTCCTTTTCGTTTAGGGAAGAAGGAGTGGTTGTTAGGAATATGGATATTGCCACCGGTGATGTTTCCATTAATCTGAATGAGGAGCTGTTACTTAAAAGGAAAGGTGAAGATGCCTTTTCTTCTACAGATGTAGCTGAAAAGGTGGTCAATGAATCTGGTACTGCTGTAAAGCCAGTGAAAAAACCAGCTAATTTGGCTGTTATGAAATATGCGTCAATGTTCCCTGAAAAGGTCAGTTATTTCTTTATCCTCCCCTTCTGCAACAAGCTTGACAATATATTTTGTCCCTTTATAGCTTTGTGTTCGTCAAACTCACGTTTGACTTGTCTATTATTGAGTGTTTATTTGGTTTAAGTTTGAAATAATTGCATCTTAAGCTTTTCTCTAGAATGATTGAGGATAAAGAAGTTGGAAGTACAAGGATATGAAAGGGAAGAGGGTCTTAGATTATAGAAATGGTCTTCCTTTTGTCAGGACTCAGGAATAAATTAATGAAAATGCATCGAAATAGTGCATAATGGAGGAGGGAGAAAATAACCGTTGTAGCCGGATATGATATATAATGCATCAAAAGACGAGTGAGAGATGGGGAGAGGGAGGCTCTCAAAACCAAACGCAACTAGAAAGAACATGTGAATTAGCACCATTCATATGAGTGCTTTTATCTTTTCAAGATAACAAAATGAAAGGACCCTCTCTATATCTCGGTCTCATTTTATCATCATATATCGCTCTCGAGAGCACTTGGTTTGCTCATATTTGACTTCAATTACCGTAGTTGGTTACTTCCTCTAAATAATTTTCTTTCCCTGGAACTAACATTGTGACGAGCGCAAAACACACACTTAAAATTGTGCTCGCTAGTCAAAGATAGTATAGTATAATATCGTGTCCACAGGGATTGGATTTAAATAGTATTCTCGTAGTTTCTAGCTTGATTGCTATCCAGGAGGGTCAACAGTTGAGATTTATATGATTAATAATAAAATTTAACTAAGAATCTAAAATCTACAGCTATTGACTAGTGACTATCGAAACAAGGAATAAGCAACGAAGGTTATCGGTGGGGGAGGATAGGGTTTTGACAGGATAGGTGCAGGATAATTATTCGGGATCTAACTCTAGATAATTCACTTATAATATTCAAGTGAGTCTCTCGAATTCACTCTATTATTAGTTCAAACGTTCAACAAAAACCCCTCTCTCGATCAAGTCTTAACCTCACGACATGAACCAATTTAAGCACTGTGAAAATGTGCAAGAATGCGTAGTGGATCGGTCTTTAGGAAAACCTCTTTCGATTATTTTCCTAACTAGGTTTAATCAATGATTCAACTAGCCTCCTTCGATTACTTAGAAGAATCTATGAACTCAACCAACAATATAATGCAAAGATATCACAAGTTATGCCTTTCACGATTACATGAACTAGTGACTATAGATGCAACAATTAAATCTTCCAAAACGATTCAAATACATAAAAATGGAGTTATAATCCACAAACAATCATTTTTTTTTTTTGATAAGGGATCCACAAACAATCATCAATACACCAAATCCATCAAAACTCAAAAGGAACTACTCCATAGACATTGAAAAGTTCTTCACAAATATAACTAAAGTATAGGAAAACATAAATTCAATCCAAATCCAGATCTTGAGTGAGGAAGGAATGATGAAATCCTTGTGCTTGTGTTCTTCCCAAGCCTTCTTAGCCTCCTTAGGTCGAAAATATGTCAAAAGTCCCGAAAATGGTGTTTTCTCATGTATTTAAGCCATCTCCCAATAAACTCCGAACGAAATTACCCTTTTTTAGCCGAAATGGGACGTCACTCTAACATTTTTGGGCTACCGCCCCATGCGGCGCGCATGTAGGAAATTCCAGAACATGCCAAAAAATCATCTCTGGCCACTTTTTGCACTGCCGCGCCCCATGCGGCGCGGCTGTGCAAATTTTGCAGAGTATTGATTTTTCTTCACTTTGCAGGAAAATTGCACTAGCGCTATGAGGCCCGCAGCGCGGTAGTGCAATTTTCTCAGAGTGAATTCGTTTTCTCATTTTTTTGACATCCAGACTTGGTTTTCAACCCCCGAACGTGATCCTGGATTAATCCCTTGGGCTTTTACTCAGACTTCAAATCTCCAACTTGTTCGATTTAGCTTCCGAATATCATTTTTACTCGAAATCAATTCCTACTAGGCATAAAAGACACAATAAGTGCAATACACTAACATTAAAGCTCAAACACAAGTAAAATGCAGTAATTTGAGTGCAATACTACGGCTATTTCTAGCCTACCATCACATTGGTTCCATGTCTTTGAGTTAATAATAGATTGATCTAAAGTAAATTCCTCTTCTACTTGTTTCAGAGGAAATAGGAATGCACTTCAACTTTTTACAATTTTCCAAAAAGATAGTAGCTAACACTCATTTCTGAAAGACTGTTTAAGGTCATGGCGTACTAGGATTCTCTATACTTAATTTGTTTTATTATTCATTTTTGTAATGTAAAGATGAAAACATGCTAAAACATATGGCAAAAGAAGTTGTTTGCAATTTTCCATGGAATGGTCCAATAATTTAGGGTGCCTGTAGTAAGTAGAGATTTTGTATTCAACTGTAATGGCTAATATTTTTTGTGCCATGCCCAAAAAGGAGTTTCCTATGAAGATCTATGGAGTCATCAAAGTAATTAGGGTAGCAGTAATATTTTAGAAAATGTAGTACTTGATAATTCCAATTGATAAAAAATTTAGTGCATCCTGAGATTATTAATTATAATAGAGCGTGGAACAGATTAAAGTTGTTATATAGTGCTAGGGCTGTTAGTTATGAGGTGGTTGAGGTGAAAACATAGATAAGGTGTAGAGAATAGCAAAGAGTTCATCAGAGACCGAAGTCAACACAAAAAAAGTAGTTTGATATATTTGTGAATATCTTGTAAATAAAGTGTATAACAATTATGAATTAATTAGGATTTTTTGTATTAATTAGACTAAACTAGGATGATTACATGCATGCAATTATGTTTCTTTCCTACTTTTAGAATAGGTGTAAACAACATAAAATCCAATGCCTGCGGAAATATCAAGCTGATGTATTCCCAAAAATCTTCCTTCTCTTTGACATCCTCTATTTTCTTTTTTTCTATATAAAATCAGAGTTAGGGTACTGAGCCCCTTCTCTAAGTTCTTTCTCTCTCTATTTTACGTATTTTAAACAACACGACGAAAATCACTCTTCCAGTGAAACTAGTGTTGGTTCTCAACCTCTCATTGTCAAAGCATCCTCCCACCTCAACGCCTAAATAAGCAGAGTGCTCATTTATGGTGACCTTATTGTTTGAAGTCGATTGGGTGGCAGCATGTGTGTAGCACACGTACCGGTGCCACTTACTCTGATTGCTGCTGAAATTGTTTGCTGGCGGTGACACGACATCCAGACAACTGTCTCATTGCTGGACTCTGTCTAGGTTGCGCTGGTCTTCTATATCCCTCTAACCGTGTCGTCACCCTCTAAATCTCAACCAATAAGTTTCTGAGGTTTGCACCGGTGACATCGTCCTCAGAACTCAAGTTCTGCTTAGTAGTTTCTATTCTATTCTTCCTTCTTTGTTTGTGTCTGATATCCTTTTTTTATTGCATATATTATTTAGGCAACAATGGCAAACATGTAAAGAAGGAAAGAAAAGAGATGCCACAAAAGCAAAAAAAGAAAAAAAAGGAGAAGAATATGGCTGAAAATTGAATTGTGGGGAGATCTTTTTCTGCTTAACCCCCCTCTCCGCCAATTACTGCTGTAAGGTTGCAGGACAGTAGTAATTATTGTCTCTTCAACAGCTTCAGTAGAGTTATGGTTCTCAGGCCAGAATTTGATGCGTTTGCTCAAGAACTCAACAAATTTTCCAGCCTGTTATCTAGTAGCGCGGATTAAGGTTGATGAGCAATCTGTTATGGAATTCAATCTTAAGCTACATAAGGGATTGATATATCTGCATCAAGCTAGGAACATTATGATATGCAGAGGCGGATCCAGGATTAACACTTTATGGGTTCAATTTTTAAGGTTTTAGTATTGAACCCATTATATTTTTAAAGCTATGGGTTCATATCTACTATTTTTATAATTTTAACGAATTTTTACACATATAAATTTTTACTCCGCTTAAAAAGTTATGGGTTCAATTGAACCCGTCATCAACACTCTACATTCGCCTCTAATGATATGTATGCTCCACCTGAATGTGGAGCACTGGATGTCATGTTATTAAAGTGTACATCAATTAGGAATCAATAGATGATTTGCATCGACTAGGAATCATTTAGGATGATACCATGCCCGTAGTTATGATTCTTTCCCATTTCTAGGACCGTATAAACCAATATCTGAACCCTAATAACAAGCTGATATCTTCCTGAAAACGTCTCCCCTCTTCTTTTTTATATCCCTTTCTCTTCATTTCTACAGAGCGTATGCTGTTGCTCAGTTTTTGTTTTGGAAAATCATGAGCAATTGCTAACTAAAATTGACAATTGAATGCTCAATTTCCAGCTCTGTTAAGGTCCTTACGAGCTCCCCTTGCATGTGGAATACTCTGCCATTAATGGGGCTGAGTATATTGTGTTTAACATGGTCAAAGTTTTTTTGATAAGTAAAACATAGTCAAAACTCTCTGTTTCAAACTTTGTGATCTAATTTGGACTGGGTATTTCTATGATCAACTGACGATTTACTCTGTTTACTGGTTCTTCCTCCTGTAGTTTGGGAAGAGTTGGGTATACTGGATCTATGATATCTCTCTTGCACAAGGCAGTGAATCCCTTCTGTGGAACTTTTGCTTTTATTTGTTCCTTTTTTGATTGCTTAGATAACTGGCGATCATGGGAGAGCAAAGTTGGCACAATACCTATGAGGACAAAACTGCCTACGGGCTGATTGCTGTATATCGAGCTTTTAAACAGGACTGAATGTGAATATGCATCATTTTCTTAGACAAATCTTTTGATGTGCAACACCTGGAAATTAAATTACCACACAAATTTATGTTGATGTTTTACTTTGCAAAATCCACTGATGATTGGTTCTACCTGTTTCATTTTACGTTTGACACAAATTAAAGCTTTCAATTCTATAACTAATTCCTTTATGTTTCCCAGTTTTTTTGCGCTTACTGCATAGCATAGTGTTGGGAAGTTATGTATAGTTTGATTGACATATGTATTTGTTTGATAGCTTAGTTTCGTGTTACCCAAACTGGATATGAAGTTTGTGCACCGTGAAGTGGGCCTTATGGTTGAGAATAACATTATGGGCATCCAACTGAAAGGCACAAAAACTCGATCATTTGAAGATGTTGGAGAAAGTACGCGGGTTGATGTTCAGATGGAGTTCAGTGAGATTCATGTATGTTTGTATTAGTCAGTTCTTTCCAACTTTTTTTGCTAAAATTTCTATTACTCAGATATTTCTCCTTTTCTTGTACTCTTTTGTGCTAAATAAAAGTGCCTCTTTGTTATACTGTAGCTACTGAAAGATGGTGGCATATCAGTCGTGGAGATATTAAAACTTGATGTTGTCTCTTCAGTATATATTCCACTTCAGGTGTGTGTTAACTTTACTTTGACAGCAGCATTTTGTATTCTCTCTGTCTCTTACCTTGTGCTATTTTCTGCAAACTGCTGCACCAGGAAATAAAATACAAAGTAGTACAATTGCTTCGTTCACTGTTTGAGAAGGCAAACTTGGACATACTCTAGTCCTCTGAGCCACGATTCTTAAATTTTGAGATACTACAATCAGCATTATTGGATAACTAGCGCCCCCTCCCCCCAAGCTTATTAGATAATACCTAGGTCAGGCTATTGGTTGCTATATATGCTTTTTCCTACAATTAGCATGATTGGAGAAGTAGCCCCCAACCCCAACTTATTAAATGATACCTAGGATCAGGGTCTTGGTATATTTTTTTCTTGTTTTTTCTACTTGCTCGATGACTTACCTTACATGCAAGGATTAGTGTCTATCCTGGGTGTTATTTTAACTTATTGTAAAGAAACTTTGGTGTAAAATAAATAAGGGAAGCATATAGAATTTAAACACATTCTATACTACTAACATTTTTTTTGATTAAGTGGTAAAACTTCTTTTATGATGGGGCAAAAACACCTGTATACATGTAATATACCAAAAAAGTAGAAAACCTAGAAAAAGATGTGGTTTTCTCGAAGGACACCCAATTTTTTAAACATATAGGTGCCTTATGGGTGCACTAAAAGGAAATAAGGGATAAGAGGCTATTTCTCAAATGTGTGAAATCATTCTCTATTCCTTCAAAATCTCTCTTATTTCTCTCTCTCCGTACAACCCACTTAAGTGCTAGTGGAGCAACATCTCATGCCCTGTCTTCTCTTCCATCTACCAAAACTTCAGCTGAACATTGCTTCTTTCATAGTGCCTGACATCATCCAATGTAGTCCAAACCATCTCAGTATTTTCCGCCATAAACGAGAAGCTACCCTACGATGTAGAAGGAGATGGCCCATGTCTTCACTCGAGCACTTCAATTGGTGTAAGTAATCTTCCTTTTCTTCATATTCTTATCTGTCAAGATCACCCCCTTGTTGCTAGCCAAGTGAGAAAACACACCTTTCTCGGTAACTTAGGATCCAGATGGAGAGACATGGAAAGGTTGCCTCCTTCCATGGTCACAAGCTTCTCACAATATGGCTTTAGAAAACACACTATTATTGGCCGCTTACCTCCGTACATCATGGCTATCCGCGATGTTTTGTTTTTGAATCAATTCAACAAGGCTTCAGAATTCTGCCACCTCTCACTCTTGAAAGTTTCTCCATAACCTCAAGTCCCGAATGATTCCTCCACCTTGTAGTCTCCAGAGCCTGTTGGACTGTTGTCTCCTTTTGACATGAATTCTATAAATGTTTGAAACTGGAATTCTCAGTGTATTGTTCCCATATCCGAGCAACGTTAAAATTTCTAATTTAAATAGCTGCTGACGATCAATAGGTTGAGAATCAACATTAAATAATCTAATTTATCTAATTTTAATGAATGGTGAATGGATTAAAATGGACTTGAATGGAGAAGAAAGGATACATAGGGTTGACTTAATTGAAAACAAAAGTATCCTTACCAAAACTTCGTATTCTCAAATTATCCCTCAACAATTTAATCTATCTGTCTCTCAACTATAAATACAACTCTCTTCCCCTCATTTCTTATAGTTTTTTCTACCGTCTCTTCTCCTGTTCCTTTTTGGAATAACAAAGTGCATCACAGAATCACAAGCTCTTTGAATCAATTAATATCTTTTTCTCAAGGTATGATTTCTTCTCCAACTAGTGAATAAACCGACAATGAATTCCAATCATTGTCAGGACAATCTTCAGAGTTCTGTATGTAGTTCTATGTTTGATTTTATTTTGACTTTCTCCACTTATATATTGTTTTCTTGTGCTTTAAACTACTATATTTTTTTGTTTTATGTTTAATATTTAATTAAATAAAATAAACTCTTAAGAAAAAAAATAGAAAAAGCTTAATTATAGTTTTTCATAATATAAATTTTAAACTAGTTCTCTGTATAAATAATACAATTGTAAAATGAACCTTGATATTGTCTCTTTTTTTTTTGTAATTTTACACGCAGAAACACATGGACAAACATAATCTGTTTGTCAAATAATTAAAAAGGCACATCTCAAATGAATTGGCCAAACTGTTAAGCAAAACTACTATGAGCAATAAACTGTTACTCTCCAAAAATACTTTTCTGAAAAGCTATTTTGACAAAAGTGCTTCTGAACATGAGCAGTTTTTTTTTTTTTTTTTTTTTTTTTTTTTGGCTGTTGAAAATTTGGCTAAACAGTCTGTTATTGTTGGTTCTAGCCATGATAAGAAAAACTACTATGAGCAATAACTTTTTTTAAAAATGTACAATTTATTACATCTAAGTATATCTCTAGTTTACACATGTGACAAAATCTTTTTGGTTCCCAGACTGCTATTTGAACTGGTTCTTTTCATGGCATGTTCTCATTTGAGTCTGTATCATCTTTGATGCTTTCTCCATAGCATTCATTTTTTTCTTCAAGTTTTATGTTATTCTTTCTCCTTTATCTATTTAATTGCTGAGGATTCTTTGCTTTACAGCCTGCTTCACCCATCAGATCAGAAGTTGATGTCAGGCTTGGGGGTACTCAGTGCAACCTGGTGATAACGAGATTACATCCGTGGATGCAACTTCATGCTTTGAGGAAAAGGAAAATGGTTCTTCGAGGAGAAAGTTCTACTCATGAAAAATCACCCTCATCTGATCATAAAGCATTCATGTGGACCTCCACTATTTCGGCGCCAGAAATGACTGTAGTGCTCTATGATTTGGATGGCTCACCACTCTATCATGTAAGACCCTTTGAAATCAGATCCACATCTTTTACTCTTGTTAAAGGCATCTTTTTTTTTTTTTTGTGTACTGGAAAAAAGTTTTCTAAGCTCAGATTTAACCTTTTGTTTTTGCACGTAATCTATGTTTCAAACT